GAAGCTCCTATTTCAGTAGAGGTTTTCTGTATAACAAAGAACCTTGCAGAATTCTGGAATATGATGCCAAGGGAAGCTTCCAGGTGAACTTTACTATTCAATGATATATCTCCATACTGATCTTCTGTAGTTCCTTCATAGCTGCTCTTACAAGTTTTGGTCTTCTTCTGAGGTTTTGACTGCAGTCTCCATTCCGAATAATGACTCAGACAAAGTATGACACATCTTTCACTGTTCAATGTCTTCAACATCCACTTTAAAGTTATGTAATCACCTGTTATTTCAACTTTAAACCTGACTTTGCAATTTCTGTCCTTTCTTCAATTATCACGTCAATACTTTACTATTTTCTGCTAATAGTATGATGTCATCTGCATAACTTAAATTGTTGTTTTCTCCAGTTTTCATGCCCCCTTCTTCCAAGTCTTTACATAAAGTATATTCAATGTACAGGTTGGAGAGATATGGTGATGATGCAGCCTTGCCTGATTTCCCATGCAAAATAAATAAATAAAATCAGTTTCTCTGTAGACCTGACAGCAGCCTCTTGTCCTGAGTACATCAGGACAATAATCTTTTCTTTAAGATAAATCTTTTGTGAGCTACACAATCCAAGACTGCTGTATCTATAAAGCATAGGACAAAATTATTTGGTGTTCTTCATTTTTGTGATCCTTAGTGCCTCCTCTTTTGCTGAAACCAGTGTGGCCATTTGGCATTTCTCACTCCATATATGGCAAAAGCCTTTATTGTGGAAGCTTGAGCATCACTTTGCTTGCGTGGGAGATTAATGCACTGCTCCTGTGGTTACAATTCCTGGTGTCTTTTTATGGTGAATAAAATGTAAATTTTTGTTTCCAATATGTGGGTTATTGTTTTGTTCTTCATATTCAAATGGTTCTTTCTTAAATGCATCTATCAACATTTAATTTCTTTTATAAAGTTCTTCCATGGATTGTTTCCATCATCTTTTTATTTGTGCTTGGTTATGTACTGTGTTGCTCATTTAGCATCCCCACTTCTGATTTACATTTCTCTTCAATTTCTTGGAACTTGTGGAAGAGATCTCTTGTTCTTCTATTTTTCTTGTCATCTTTTATATCTTTGCATTTATCATTACAGTAGCTCTCATTGTCCCTGCACACAAGCCATTGAACAATTGCATTCTGGGTTCTGACCCTCTTTCTGACACGTTTTTCTTTTGCTTCTCGTTAGGTGCTTGAAGAGTATTATCTGCCATCCATTTAAAGTTATCTTTCTTTTTGGTTTCAGATAGTGTATTTTGGCATTTCTCCCTAACAGTAGCCAATAGTAAGGAATGCTGGATATGTAGTTCAACAACATCTGGGGGGATGCACAATTACCCCCCCCCCCCCAATAGAGGTTCACTGAATCATTCTGGAACGTCCGGGTGTAAATTGTTTCATGTTTGTTATCGACAACCATGTGATAGTAGATCAATTTTGTAAATATCGACTGCAGAGAATTTGTCTCTCTGTGCTTTTCACATGACTTCCTTCCTGCAAATGAAATTTCCTGGTGTGGAGACTTGCCTTATGCGTGTGTTTTATGGGGGAAATATCTCTGTTCTCCACTTGACATTGCAGTCCGATGCCATTCAACATGGATTGTTGTCAGTGCCATGACAGGGGGAAAAGCTACAGAAACATAAAGCATTAAAGCATAAACAAGGACATTTTTGGAGAATCATGTTTCCCTCTGTCTACAGTCTAAATAACATTAAAGGCAAAAAAGAGCGATAAGATGGAAGACGAACAGCTTCAAAAGAGAATGCTTCTAAGTCTCTTAAGAAATGGCAGATGTTCTACCAATAGAAGGCTGCAAACATCTCCCAAATCATATCTTTAGAGACAAGCAGGGAATGTTTTGTTAGGTAGGAAAATATGAAATATAATGAGAACTACTTAACATTCATTCTAAGATGTCATGGGAATTCATACCATTCCCTGTTAATAATGTAGAATTTTGGTGACAGCGCCCTACAGCACTGAATGCTCTATGGAAAGCATGTGTGTGTCATTAATTTAAATCAGATCGGGCTCTGTGACAGTGTTGATAAACAACATTTTCATTGCTCAGTTAAAAATAATTTAAGCTTTGTTTAAAAGGTGGCCCAACTGACCCCCAATTCAAACAACTCATTGGTCATAATGGTTCAGGAAGATGGGGGTTTCAGTCAAACATATGTGGTGATAGAAAATAGTGATTCCAAAATAAAATATGTTCAGGAGTAACATTTTACATACAGGAAAACCCCAGATCTTCTTTGTGGTTGGAGAAGGACCCTGGACCATAACCAGTCAGTGTAGACAAGGAGCAAACAACTTGCATCCCTCCAAATACATTGGATGCAAACTCCCATCATGACAAATACCACTTGTGCTGGAAGCTGAAGTCAAACAATGCATGGAGATGTACATGTTTTCTCTTACATTAGACAACACTGATTAGACAACACACGGCCCTATATCCCAGAAGATCAAGGCAAAAATCCCACAATATTTGCTTTGAATTGGGTTATCTAAGCCCACACTCAGATAATGTGGGATTTCCTGCCTTGATATTCTGGGATATAGGATTGTGTGGAAGAGACCTTAGGGATGGGACTCAAATATGGCAGCTTGTTCTGTGTAATCTCAAGTAATTGAAACTCCAGACCTTTGTGTAGTGCTTTTCTGCAAAGTAAACACTTGGGAAAATATGCAGATAGTGTCAAAAGTTAAACAATAATGAGAACAGTTAATGAATTCTATATGCCTGTTTAGAATGACTCTCAGTTACTCATTAGCTCAGGTAATTTGGAAATCAAGCCAAATTGTAGTGTTAAAGAGGCATACATATCTCCTATCTACTTTTAACATCTTATTCATCTTTGTTGTTGTTCATTCGTTCAGTCGTCTCCGACTCTTCGTGACCTCATGGACCAGCCCACGCCAGAGCTCCCTGTCGGCCGTTACCACCCCCAGCTCCCTCAAGGTCAGTCCAGTCACTTCAAGGATGCCATCCATCCATCTTGCCCTTGGTCGGCCCCTCTTCCTTTTGCCTTCCACTTTCCCCAGCATAATTGTCTTCTCTAGGCTTTCCTGTCTCCTCATGATGTGGCCAAAGTACTTCAACTTTGTCTCTAGTATCTTTCCCTCCAGTGAGCAGTCGGGCTTTATTTCCTGGAGGATGGACTGGTTGGATCTTCTCGCAGTCCAAGGCACTCTCAGCACTTTCCTCCAACACCACAGCTCAAAAGCATCGATCTTCCTTCGCTCAGCCTTCCCTAAGGTCCAGCTCTCACATCCGTAGGTTACTACAGGGAATACCATCTATCAGAGACCAATACTTCCAATGTGTTTGTTGGGCTCCTTATTATGGCCAATACCACCAGTTACTGTTCAAATGTGTTAAAAAGCACCCCTACCAAAGATGAATGGTAGCATACCAGGATTTCAGAAATCATCTGTTATCTGGAACTGCAAACATAAGGTAACCACCAAAGTCCTAGCAGGCCACACACACAATGCAAAGTGTATGTATGCCATAGAATTAATGCAATTTGACACCATTTCAGTAAATGACTCAATGCCTTAGAATCATGAAAGCCAGTCCTAAAAAAGGTCTGTTGGTTTGTTTGTTTGCATACTGTTAGTTACTTCTGGTGTGAGAGAATCAGCTGTCTACAAAGACATTGCCCTGGGGCGCTCAGTTGTGTTACGATCCTCTCATGTCCCCTCCTGGGCGCACAGAAGACTGGGCGACTTGGAAGGTGCTGAACAGACTGCGCTCTGGCACCATGAGATGCAGAGCCAACCTTAAGAAATGGGGCCACAAAGTGGAGTCCACGACATGTGTGTGTGAAGAAGTACAAAGCACAGACCACTTACTACAATGCAGTCTGAGCCCTGCCATATACACAATGGAGGACCTTTTTATAGGAACACCAGAGGCATTCCAAGTGGCCAGCTACTGGTCAAAGGACATTTAATATAATGCCAAATTTTGGACTTTGTGTTTTCAAATACATTACAAACTGTACCCTCCATTTGCTTCTGACACAATAAATAAATAAATAAATAAATAAATAAAAGCTGATTGTAGTTTGGTTTTTTTTTGCCAGGAGTTGAGAAACTGCAAGTCACTTCTGTTAAGAGAGAACTGGCCATCTCCTAGGATGTCACCCAGGGGACGCCCGGATGTGTTACCATCCTGTGGGAGGCTTCTCTCATACCCTCACATGAGAAGATGGAACTGACAGATGGGCGCTCACTCCACTCCCTGGATTCAAACCACCGACCTTTCAGTCAGCAATCCTGCCAGCACAAGTTTAACCCATTGTGCCTGCTGTTGGGGTCGTTGGTGAGGCATTAGCACATTTTTGCCAAGAACACTAAAGACTTTGTAAAACTACAATTCCTTGGATTCCATAACACTGAGCAATGGCAGTTAAAGTGGGGTCACACTGCATTAGTTCTAAGGCAGAGTCCCATGTTTTGTTCAGCACATTGTCTGCAACCACTGGGATGAGCTGGAAATCTTTTTTTAGACTATAGGTCAGTGGTTCTTAACCTGTGGGTCCTCAGATGTTTTGGCCATCAACTCCCAAAAATCCTAACAGTTGGTAAACTGGCTGGGATTTCTGGGAAATGTAGGCCAAACACCTGGGGACCCACAAGTTGAGAACCACTGCTCTAGATGTCGATGAAGTGTCTACTTACATTATATCATTAGTCAGCCTGGTGAGGATGATGGGAAAGAGAACTCAGTAATATCTGGATGCTCCAAGTTTCTTGTGGTCCTCAAGCAGTACCACAACCAGCAATCAAGGGGCCCTTCCACACAGCCCTATATCCCAGAATAACAAGGCAGAAAATACCACATTACCTACTTTGAAGTGGAATATATGGAGGTGCGGACTCAGATAACCCAGTTCAAAGCAGATATTGTGGGATTTTCTGCCTTGATTTTCTGGGATATAGGGCTATGTGGAAGGGCCCCAGGAAGGGGTTAGCCTAGGACTTTTGGAATGTAAGGAACATGCTCTTCTACTGAGTCCTTGGTGGCAAACTGTGTTTGAGAAGACTGATCATAAAATGTATGTTCCCAGTTTCAGACTTTCCACAGGTGCACAATTTATAGGTAGGTCGTTCTTATGAAAGTTTCTGGATATGCACATTCCTTTTCCATCTTAAAAGCACCCATATATCAACCTCGTCCTCTGTACGATTAGACCTTTGCACACTGGACTGCCTTTTTTTCTCTTAATTTCTAAACGAGTGTGACGCGTGTGATTGCCTTCAAATATATCTTTCAAAAGGTGCTAAGAATGGATGGCAAGGATATAGAGGTGAAAAGCTGGCAGATGCTGGTCAGCATGTGCCACAAGACAACTTGAATGCCTTCAACGGGACACTAGAGAAATAGTTTTATATTCTAATTCACTATGCTTTGTTTAAGGACCACTCAAAATGGCAAATTTCCAGGGATTTGTGTTCTGAACTTGACAGGATGTTATCTCAAGATGCTAAAGGAAACATATGGAGATGTTCTCAGGAGACGTTTGCGACAAGGAGTTTGAGACAGCATAGCAGAGAAGGGAAAATCTCTTCCACTGAAACAATCGATTAGGACACCCACACAGATATAGGATCTTAGATACTTTTTAAAGCTGTGATATTATGGGAAGATGCACAGTGTCCTAAAACTGATATTGATTGACAGTAAAAATGGAATGGGATTATCCCATCCTTGCAATTCACAGCATACGGGACCTCTTTATGATTATGTGCCGATTGGCCCCCAAATCTTCCTTGGAGAGACTGGTTCGAAAAGATTTCACTTTTTCTTGGATCTCTGACAGGATGGCAATCTTTTGGGCCAGGACTGCTTCGAACTGGGCAGCATAAAACTCCATGTCATAGTCTGCATCTTCTGTCATTTGGAAGAAAGCTTTCAACCACTTGAGTGACTCCTGGTGCTCTTCCACCAGAGCTCTCTCGTCCATTTCTTTCCTCTTCTGCTGACCCTTCCCGCTGGTGACAAATGTTGGAGTTGGCGGGGAGATTTGATCTTCTTTCTGTACACAGAACACCTTGAACTCATCTGTTTCTGGCAAACTCTGGATGGCCCACGGTCTTGTCAAGTCTTCTAACTGGATGATGGGTCGAGGCAAGATGGGGTGAAATGGTCTGAAGGCACTGGGGTCCACGGAGAGTTCCTTCACTCGGTTGGCATACCTGAGGGTGTTGAGCGTGTGCTCGCAGGACCTCAACCCTGGAGAAATGGTGGCGATCATACAAGTGCAGGAGTTCTCTCCGATGAAGGAGTCCCTCAGAACTTGGGTGAGCTTACTGGCGCGGAAGGGCATGTGGCCTTTGTTGCGCCCCAAGGCCCGGATGCATTCTTTGAGTGCCAGGAGGCTCTTGTTGATTTCTGCTCCCTCCAGACGGGTCTGCCGATCTGCAGTGGAGGTGTCCGCTCCTCGCTCATTGCCGGCCAAGTCGATCAAGGAAAACTTACCATGCAGCCTCCCTCTTCTCTTGAGGATGATCTGGAAGACAGCGTGGCTACGTGAGGAGTGAGAGTTTGCTGAGGTCTGTCCCGATGTCCGGCACCGATTGCCCACCTCAATCAGCTTCATGATGTCCTCCATGCAGAGGGCCTCCTGCTCCAGCAACCCCACTACCTGAACCTGCTGGTGGCTGTCCTCCAGCACCCTCAGGCGGCTCTTCCAGTTGAGCAGATCGTAGACTTTGCCCCAATAGATCTCGAAGAAAGCCCCAAAGACTTGGAGGCCTAGGGCTTTGTAAGGGGGGTCCTGCAGCAGGCGGAAGACATCCCGGGCCGCCATAGCGTAGATGCCGGTGGAAGAGTCCTGCCGCTTGCTGCTGAAGTCGCCGCCCATGGTGTGGGTCTTGCCACTGCCGGTCTGGCCGTAAGCGAAGCAGGTGGCCATGCCGCCTTGGAAGACGGTCTCCACCAAGGGCTGGGCCGTGTGCCGGTAGACGCTCTCGTTGGTGGCGTGGTCGTCGAAGGCATGGTCAAAGCGGAAGGCCTGGTTCTCCAGGTAGCGAGTGAGGTCCAGCTTCTGCTTGGCCTCATGGACCATCACGACGTTGGGGCAGGGGATGCTGACCACGTCCACGTCCTTGAGCTCGGCCTCGCGCTGGTTGAGCGGCCTCTTGCGCACGCAGACGCAGATGCGCCGGGCGGCACCCGAGGTCGAGGCCTGGGAGCGGCTGGGCTCTAGAGGGGAGCTGTGGGCCAGGAGGGCCTCGGGGCCGCCCTCGCATTGCAAGGTGGCGCGGTACTGGGCGATCATGTCGATGAGGTCTGCGTGGGGGTGGGCGTCGCGGGCCCCTCGGCGGGCGCGCCTCTCCAGCACCTCCTGGTGCCTCTTCTCCCGCCGCTCGCGCAGCCGCTCCACCTCCAGCACGCAGGGCGACTTGTGTCCCGGGCTGGGGCTGAGCCTGCCCGCCGCGCCCGTCGAGGGCGGCCTCCGCAGCAAGGGCAGCGGCTCCCTCTCGGCGCCGTCCCCGCTGGGCTTCTCCTGGCCCACGGGGCTGAGCCCCAAGCGCGGCGAGAGGCCGGAGCGGTCGCCTTGCTCGGGGCTGAACCGCCCCGCCGTCGGGGCCAGGTGCGGGTTGAGCGCGAAGGCCAGGCCCAGCTCCACCTTCTTGCCCTTGTTGGCGCCTCGCTCGATCCATTCCACCGTCACGCAGCCGCTCTCCTCGTGCAGCGCCGTCACCAGCGCCGGGTGGATGCGCCCGTCGCTCCGCTTGATCTCCATATAGGCGCCCAGCTGGATGCCCCCGAAGGCCAGCGCCATGGCTGGCTCGGGAGCCGGGCGGGGCTGGCCGATGCGCGGGAGCAGCGGGAAGCGCGAGAAGCTGGCGGAGGAGGGCCCCCAAGGCAAGCAGCCGCACGCCCCCTCCGCCGCTGCCGCCGCCGGGGACTCGAGGGCAGCCGCGCGCATGGCCCGGACGGAGGGGCCCCGCGCCCGCCTCCCCGCCACGCGCCTGCCGCGCCTCTGCGCATGCGTCACAAGCGCAGCTAAGGGCCAGCCCAGGAGACCTTGCTGTGGGAAAGGCTGGCAGGCAGGTTGGTTGGGAAGCCCTTGGACTTCCCTGCAAAGCAAGCATCCGCCAACTCCTGCCCTCCAGGTGTTTTGAACTTCAACTCCCAACAATCCCAGCCGTTAGGAAGTGTGGGAGTTGAAGTCCAAAACCCCTGGAGGGCCGAAGTTTGCCCATGCCTGTTACAGGGAAAGAGGAGATTCTCCTCCTATGAGGCTGAGAGCGTGTGACTTGGCCAAGCTCTTCCCTTTCCTTCCCTATCTCTCCCACCATTTCAAGAAAGGATTCCTTCACAGAAACAGCTCTTCACTTCAGTAGGGTCCCAGTCAAGCCTGATTAATATTTATTATTTATTTATTTCGGTCATTTGTACCCCGCCTTTCTCACCCCCTAGGGTGATTAATAGTGATTAATAGTGCCTTATCTTGGCTTGGTGTACTCAAGAGGAAGTTGATCATCGGCTCCCTCTGAGGCTGAGAGAATGTGACTAGGGAGTGCACCTCCACTGTTGAAATAAATGTGTTTCATGTGTTATATTATGTTTAATTTTCAGTTGTTTTTTGGTCAGTTTTACAGGTTTCATATTAAGATTGTTTTATCCATGGCCTTGGTTTGATTTGTTTTGTCTGTTTTTGGCATTGAATGTTAACCATTTTGTTATTTTTGTTGGAAACCACCCTGAGTCCCCTTGGGGAGAGAGGGTGAGTTATAGTTAAAGTATTATTATTATTTGAAACACAACAAGATGAGTCCACAGCAGACACTCTGCTGACTGTTGTACTGGATCACACGTCAGACACTTCCCAATTGTCTAGGACTGTGTGATGTACTGGTGAATAATGTGTGCAGATCCCAATAAGGTGGCCTTCTGCAGCTGGCAGATGGTAATTTTGTCAGCGCCGATTGTGCTCAAGTGCAGGCCAAGGTCTTTAGGCACTGCATCCAGTGTGCCAATCACCACTGGGACCACCTTGACTGGCTTGTGCCAGAGTCTTTGCAGTTCGATCTTTAAACCCTCATATTGTGTCAGCTTTTCCAGTTGTTTCTCTTCATTCCTGCTGTCACGTGGGATTGCAACATCGACAATCCATACTTTGTTTTTTAACATGATCGTGAGGTCAGGAGTATTGTGCTGCAAAACTCTGTCTGAATTCAGAATTCCCAGAGTAGCTTGATGTGTTCATTCTCTGTAACTTTTTATGGCTTGTGATCCCATAAGTTCTTTGTTGCAGGCAGATGGTATTTGTGGCACAAGTTCCAATGAATCATATTATTATTATTATTATTATTATTAAATGAATGTGGTTTGATGCCACTTTAACCGCCTTGGCTCCATGGCATGGAATCCTGAAATTTGGAGTTCGGTGAGGTCCCAGTGCTCATTGGCAGAATGGCTAAAGGTCTCATAAAAGTACAACTTCTATCATCCCATAGAATTGAGTCATGGTAGTTAAAGTGGTGTCAAACGTCATCAATTCTACAAGATGTACCCTGAGCCAAGGTCTCCCCAGCTTCATCTGACACAATATTTCTGCCATGGTATCTCTCCCATGATTGTGGTTGTGAAGTTTTAGAAGATCTTTAGCCTTCTTTCCAGAGTGCTGGGTTCTCATCAACTACAAATCCTAGGACTCCAGAGCATTGAGCCATCACAGTTAAAGTGGTGTTACATTGCACAATTTATACATGTTAGATCAGGCATGTGCAAACTTTGGCCCTCCTGGTGTTTTGGACTTCAACTTCCACAATTCTTAACAGCTGGTAGGCTCTTAGAAATTGTGGGAGTTGAAGTCCAAAACACCTGGAGAGCCAATGTTTGCACATGCCTGTGGTAGATCTAATAAAACCGCAATTCCCATTTTTCCATAGCATTGAACCATGGTATCCAACTGCATTAATTCTACATTAATTCTATAGTTTACAATAGAACCTTGTACATACAACTACTTGGAACTAAGCCGAATTCAACCAAATAAATTTGCTCCTGTATAATTGTGTTCCATCCTCATTTTATTCTAAACCAGCAGAGGTGTGAAAAAATATATGCCCTTTGTAATATTGTGATGCTAATGTTTTAGATAGATGCTATTTAATGTGCTAGAGAAAGGTGATAACCCCTTTAAAAAGATATTTTAACATATGGTGATACAATTTTGTTGCGTTGTTTCGCCAGCTAATTTTTATTTTATCATTCTAATGGCCTGTCACCACTTAATAAATATTCCCTCACTCACTTCATTTTATTTTGCTCTGAAAAAAAGTATATCTAAGGTCAAACCACCCATTTTAAACCACTTTACTGAATGGATAACATCCTTGTGGGGATTCTATTGAGATAGTAAAGGAAAAAAGTCAGGATTTTTTGATATATAGTCAGTCCTCCACATGGGACAAAACCTAAATAAACACAGATAGGCAGCTTGGTGCTATGCATGTAAACAAAAGTTGCCCTTTATTTGTTTAAAGCTGCTAAAAGGAGATTGGAGTACATAGATCAGATTGGGGTGCAGTGTAGAGGAGACGAGGATAGTTGACGCATATATCTATGGCTACCTGTATATTTGTATTTTATTTTAAGAGGACTAGATGTATGTTGTATGTTGTATATTGTGTCTGCACTGTTTGTTTTTGATAAGGCCAACTGGCTAACAAATAAAAATTGTTGTTGCTATGCATGTAATTTGGACTATGATTCCCATCAGCCACAAACATCATAGCAAGTAGTTAGGAATTATAAGAATTAAAACACAAAATATCTGCAGAGGACCATAGTGTCCCTCTGCAAATGAAGTGCATGTCATAATCATATTTGCTTTGTGGCCATTTAAGATCCATTCACAGCCTATTGTTCCGCAAGATAAGAATGATGGGAGAGATTGGCAGCTGCACTGCAGACTGCTTTCTGAATTGTGTTCACCTTTTCATTCCAGCAAGGCCTTCCCAATTGTGAGCTTTAACAAAAACTCAGCTGTCAGATCTAAAAGGTCAAGAGATATTGGACTGACAGGCTGACATCCCGAAAAGGGACCAGAGAGACATTAGAAAATAGATCTCAGGCTGCAACCCTATGCATATTTATCTGGAAATCTCATAGAAATCCATGGGGTTTATTTCCAACTAAATGCAATTATGATAAAAGTGCTCGTGGCAAAATGGTTTTTCTGAGATGTTAGTCTTTTCCGAGAGCCTCTCAGGTACATCTCTATTCAGCTGCCATTCAGGCCTTTCATTCATTGCTTGAAAAGTATGTACGTCATAAGGTCTTGCTTTTAACAAGCTAGGTCTCCACTTTGTCTTGCTTTCAGCAAGCTATTTGGGTTAGGTGATGTTTAGTGCTGCAGTGCCGGCATGGTGCAGTAGTTAGAGTGACCCATAACTAGTGACATATGGCTTCATTACATTCCAGTTGCAGTTGCAGTCATACTGTGTAGGGCAGTCTTTGGAAATGGATCGGAAACTTCCAAGGGGCTTGAAATGCTGCATGCCATGTAGGGTACTGAATGGGACTGGGATGGGAGTTGCTCTTCTCCAGACCCGTCCCCCAGATCCATTCTGAAAGACAGCATTTTTGACTGCTGTCACTTCCAGAAATGTGCAAAACCGAGGGATGGAATAAACTGCTACTGCTAATTAGAAGCTGTATCCTCAGAAAATAGGAGAATGTCTCTACCTGAAAAATAATAATAAAGACAGATGGCTTGCCCTCACAGTATCTCTGCCACAAGTTCAAGAATCCATTCACTCATAGCTGTGTTAGGGAGATGCCTAGTCATCTGGGTTCCTGGCTGATGATGACCCTATCCTAGGGTTGTCTTTGCAAAATTTACTTGGAGAAAGTTTACCGATGTCCTCTGAGGCCTCCTTCTACACTGCTATATAATCCAGATTATCAAATCAGATAATCTGGATTTTATATGGCAGTGTAGAAGGGGTCTGAGACAGAAAGTATGGGATTTGGCCAAAATCACCCAATTGTTTTTCTTTTAAATAATTTTTACTCAAGAAAAAGACAAAATAGAACACACAAATGATATATAAAACTACCAAAATCTGCATCTGTATAATGTCCACTGCTACTAAATTGCAATTATCTGCAAACTTTCAGATACTTCCTCCTCCATAGAAAGTAGTTTTCTAACATTGGTGGACCTTCTAGTAATAAAACTATCATATTTTGGAGGAAGCTTCCCGGTCCTTCCCCAAAATAATATAATACAACATATTGTAACTCTTTAGCAGATATGTATCATAAGAAAGAAGTGGAGAAAGGATTACTTACAGTAAACAAATAATAATTTTGTTGTCTAACATTTTTCTTAACATTGTTCTTTCTATCAATATTTTAAGTCAGTAAACCATGTTACAGGCCAGTCTACATTTCCTACTCCTCTAGTCCACACAAGGATTTCAGTTTTTTAAAAAGGATTGCCTTGATTTATCTTTAAGACAGCGTTGCACAACCTGGGGGCAGGGACTCAAGGGGGGGGGAGTCATGAGGGGGTGTCAGAGGGGTCACCAAAGACCACCAGAAAACATAGTATTTTCTGTTGGTCATGTGGGTTCTCTGAGGGAAGTTTGGCCAAGTTCTATTGTTGGTGAGGTCCAGAATGCTCTTTGATTGTAGGTGAAATCCCAGCAACTGCAACTCCCAATTTTCAAGGTCTATTTCCACCAAATCCACCAGTGTTCCCATTTGGGCATATTGAGTACTCGTGCCAAGTTTGGTCCAGAACCATCATTGTTTGAGTCCACAGTGCTCTCTAGATATAGGTGAACTACAACTCCAAAACTCAAGGTCAATGGCCACCAAAGC